AGCTGCTTCAGACTACTTCAGGTTTGGAAACACCTGGAGACACCAAACCTGAAGTAGTCTGAAGCAGCTTGAAGATGACGAATGAGACTTCATCGAAACGTCGCCAAGACATCTCCAATTTTACGCGGGAGAAAACCCGAACAATTAGAGACCTATATATATATATATATATATATATATATAGTGAAAGAATATATATATTCTTTAAAATAATAGATTCTTTAAAATAATCCTTACATGGCAAATCATTAAATGTTATAATTTGCTCAGGAGTTCAGCCTAATTATGTAGTCTGACAATTTACTATGGAAACTTTAAAAATAATAAATAAGATCCCTTTTAGCCATTGATGTTATATCCCATTGTTCCCCCATCCATGATAATTACCATGAACTTGCTAATTAATGTCTATAAATCCAAAGAAAGGTTGATGTTTTCAGAAACTGTGTATGTACTTAAATTCTCAACTTAGAAATAGGCCTTAGACAAATATTTAATATCAAATGACAACTATGCCATAGTTGTAATTCAGCTTTTCTTTTCTATAGATATATGTATGTGAAAACAATAATGAATCTACCCTAATACATTTCACTCGGTATATATGTTATATAAAAAGCATTGCATAAAATGATTTCTTAATGGAAACTGGAATAGTGTTAAAACAGTACAGTTGGTTTGCAATAACATGCCATTCTAGTGTAACATTTTCCCTTGCATAGTAGCTTTTAAAAAGCAGTGTATGTTACTTTTCTCAAAAATAAAAAATAATAGCAGTAGCAATAACAAACTTATATACCGCTTCATAGTGCTTTACAAAGTTAGCATATTGCCCCAACAATCTGGTTCCTCATTTTACTGACTCAGAAGGATGGAAGGCTAAGTCAACCTTTAGCCCTTCAGGATTGAACTGCTGGTAGTTGGCAGAATTAGCCTGCAATGCTGCATTCTAACCACTGCACTACCATGACTCTTTATAAGCATTTACTTCAATACTTATCCATATCAGTTTGACAAGGTATTGACAAGCTCAAAACAAGGGGATTCTGGTCCATTTTAACTTGCAGCACACAGTATTGCTGCCTTTATTTATCTTGCCCCACTTGCAGATTATCTGTGGACAATTCACTTATCAGAAAAACATCCATCTGTGTAAGCAAGGGCAACAGTGAGTAGAAGTCCAGAAACCCTTGTGTATACTAGGTGGGGAGCTCATTCAATATAAAAGATTGTGAAATTGCAATAAAATCCTTCTGGCTAAGATTGTTTTTAATGTATTGGAGAGTAAATTATTTGGAACAAAATACATTAAACATACTACTGAAAAATAACTTTTTTAATGTTTCCATTTCTTTCATGATGTCTCCATTTTTTGTCTTGCAGAAATTATTCCATTCTCTCAAGATTTTATTACAACTATGGTGCCTGTTGCCCCTGAAAAGACAAAGGAAACACTTGGTAATTATGTACAATAAAAATGATGCTCCTTTCTTGGGGTTTTTTGTTTTGTTTTGCAGGACAAGAAATTCCCAGTACCATTTTTGTACCATTATTTTTGTATTTTTGCTCTTTCCATATGCTCAGCTGTCCTTGGCACAAACTATGCAGTAAATGCTGACTTTCACATAAAAAGTTTTAAAATAGTAACACCACTTTAATATTATTGTTTCATGTACTAGTAGTTGAACAATGTAGTTGAACGTCCTGGCAAGGGAGATTACTTACCCAAGCATTTTATCTGACCTCTATCATATTCAGGTTACTTGTATTTCATCTGATGCAAGTTTGAGCTAGTTTCTTTGTTTCATCATTCCAATTGTTTATGGAACATTTCCTTCTATTTTAGTTTCTTAATGTTATACAGTTAAATGTGCTCCATCAAGGTGCTATTGACCACCCATAAAGCCCTACATGGCAGTGGATCTGGATACTTGAGAGACCGCCTTCTGCCAATTACCTCCCTACGGCCTATAAGATCTCATAGGTTAGGCCTCCTCCGCATCCCATCGGCCAGCCAATGCCGGCTGGCAACCACAAGGAGGAGGGCCTTCTCAGTAGCGGCCCCGACCCTTTGGAACGAGCTCCCCGTAGAGATCCGCACCCTCTCCACCGTCCAGGCCTTCCGCATAGCCTTGAAGAACTGGCTCGCCCGTCAGGCCTGGGGATAAGGACCATTGCCCCGCCCGAATGTTGTATGCATGTTGTGTATTATTTTATTATGTGTTGTTGTTTTAGTATTGTATTGTATTGTATTCCCCTCTCCCTGGTTTCTGTGAGCCGCCCTGAGTCCCCTCAGGGAAAAGGGCGGCCTACAAATAAAATCAATTCAATTCAATTCAATCAAACTAAAATAAGGAAGAGATGTATATTCAAAAGGAAGAAGGGAGGAGGAGAGGGAGGAGAATGAGCAGGAGTAAAGGGAAGGAAGGAAGGAAAGAAGGAAAAAAGAAAAAGGGAGGAAGGGAGGAAGAAAAGAAAGAAAGAAAGAAAGAAAGAAAGAAAGAAAGAAAGAAAGAAAGAAAGAAAGAAAAAAGAAAAAAAAGAAAGAAGACAGTGAGGGGTAACTGTTCTGAAGGTGGAAGAAATAGAAAAAAGATCAAGTCACCTGTACTCTAAATCTTACTTGCTTCATTAAACGTCACAATATATGTGATTCTCTCAGTGAAGAGAAACAACCACAACTGATTGTACATAAAGTACCTGTACCTGTTTCTTTGCAAATGCAAAATAATAGATAGAGAAGTATTTTTACAGGTAATTATTTGTACTCAAAGCCATAGGTGCCAATACAGTATACATATCTATCAGTATACTACAATTCTATCAGTATGTTCTATGGTCATATTATGGACGCAGCCACAATGTCTCCTGCATGGAAGGAGCTCCCATTTCAATCCAATTATGTCAACGCAGGGGAAAAATACTAGCTGGTGAAAACTTTGAGTTAACTTAGTCTACGGAGACATGAATTAGCCATATGTGTTATAAATAAAATAAAATAAATGCAGAAAATGATAGTCCAGAAATTTCAAAAGTTCAGTGTTGTCCAAATAGATCTTTTGAATTCATGTAAACATATTCTGCTAATTTTATCTCCCATAATGAAAATTCTAAGCAAAGTAATACTTGTCATTCAGAAACCTTTAAATACAAAGATGATGATAATGATGATGATGACAAAATATTATTGCAATAATAAAAATATTGCCTTTCTTTTTTAACCTTCTTCCCAAGTGACTTTCATACCAGCTTTTACCACTGATAAACAGATGCATTCCTGCACAATATAACCCAAGTTTAAATTCTTATTTTCCTTTCTCCCATTGAATAGTTCATTCTTAACCAATCAAATTATCCATGCCAACAGTGCTACAGACCAAATATAGTAACTGAGTCTCATTTGTATATGTTCATATTATCATCCATATTTTTAGTTTCTGTATTTTTAGAGTAAGATTCGCCCTGCTTGCACCTAAGAGACTATTTAGAAGAGAGAAAAAGTTTCCAAAGTATTGTCCTGCTGCCAGATTAGCACAAATATCTCAACACAAGAAGAAAAAGTTGTCATAAAATTTGCTTCCATAATCATGATGTTTTTCTTTTCTGTTTTTGAAGGCAGATTAGAAATCCACTGCAAAAAAAACCTTAAAAAATCACTGAAATTGCTACTAACATTGCTAGTAACTGCTGTTACTTTTTTTTTAATCATATCAAATTTGAAGAGCTTTTCTTTGGGACAAGATATATCTAGCTGCCTTGAATATTTGTGTATATAGAGATATACATACACACAAATATTATGACCATGATTGAAATGTGCACACAACTATTACATCCAAAATTATTAAGAAGTATCTTTGTAGTTACTGTAAAAACATAATCACAAGCTCAAACGTGCACTAGTTTTCAGTACTTCTATATCATCTTTTACCAATCCTATTTCATGTTCAGAATACCTGACATAACAATCATTGGTCTCTTTTGTAAGACCTGTTAGATCTCTTGGCTTCCTGTGGCATTCTTAACCACGGATTACCAGGTTTGAGCTTGCTTGGACCAGAATGATTGATCAAATTATTCATAACCTTACTAAATCCCAGTTACACTGTTATGCTTAGCTTGAAAATGCCCGAGAAGCTACATCAAGCAAAAAATGCAACTGTCCTTGTTGGTTTATATTGGGTACAGGAGCTGTTACCAGTAGACTTCTGGGTCTGGTTTACTACTTCTAAATTCCTTTATCACTTGGGTCTTCATTGCTCTCAGGATCACTCATTTTTACGTGGATTCTACTCAGTATGCTAAATAATATCTTTTTTTCTATCTTTCTTATTCAAGATATTGTTTCTTAGTTTAACTATTTCTCCTTAACACTGATTATATATCATTGCACTGTTTCAAGTCAGCTACCAGAAATACGTGGAATCATCTGTTTTTATCTAATGGTTTTAAGTCATGTACCCTTATCTGAATAAAACACAAGGCATGATTTCTAATGAATATCTCACTCCTTTTCCAGATCCAAAAGAAACACGACTTATTCCTTCAAAACCCAAACCATCTGACAAACAAGAAAGAAACAAGACTAAACCTGGTAATTGCATTTTGATAAAATTCATATAGATGGGATTTTTGAAACTGCTATTAGTGTTTGGAAATCTAACTGATGCAATATCTTGAAATATTTAAACTTATTTTAGTTATCCATAATGGCTCATAACAAAGCTATATGAAAAGTTTTTTTTTTCAAAAGAGCCAATCTGTTAAGTATTATTGGTATAATACTTGCTAGTGCATTTTTATATAATATATCACCATCAGTAGTAATATTACATTTCAAAGTCAAATTTTAATATGTTATTCTCTTTTTCTCTCACACACACCACACCACAAACACAATTGCTGTTTTCTAAATTTGAAACATGGCTTCATGAAAAAGTGATTGAGGAAAGTTTGGCTTCTCTATTTGCACAAAGAATTGTGTTTTATTTTTATTTTTATTTTGCCCGTTGTCTGTTCCTATTTACTTTATTGGTAATAGGGCAACCAAATCATAATGGAAGGAAAAGAAAGGGATAGAGGAAAAATGAATAATAACTTTTTATTCATCTCATATTTCTTCTTCTCAAACTAAATAATAATAAATGATAGGCTGGGAGGACTCTTTATGTATTATTTCTATTAAAATAACTGCTCAGCAATCCAAAGTATATTATGTCTCTTAGAAAGCAAGGAGAGCAGACTTTCTAGGACACCATTCCCATCAGGCTTAATCAATGTGACCATTGCTCATGGTTTATTGGATTAGAAGTGAACAACATCTAGACAATCAGAGATCAAATAATCAAACAATTGCACCTACCAAGCTTCAGAATTTTTGGGCTGGCAGCAGGAACTTTAATTCCTTTTTATTTGCAAAAAGAATTCCCATAAGGAATGTCTGAATGTAATCTGTTCTTTTAGCTTTGGTTTGGCTTATTACTAGCATTTATTTTGCCCTCTGAAAGATAAGATTTTGGCAATAATTGGGATTAACAGTTAGTTATTAATATATTTTGGTTTGTTTGCTGTAGGGTTTTAGCTATTCAAACTACTAAAAATGCAGCCAATACCACAGAGCCAAAACAACATTGGCAATGTAAAGCATACAAATCTTTAAAAAGGATACTATGTGGTGATAACAAAGTTTATGGTGGGATGTAGACAAAATCACACTGAAAACTATGGCAAATGGATATGAATGAAGTATAGACAAGACAAGTCTTATTAAGACATAAACATTTGAGTTAATCTTTCTCAAACCTTCTTTGGTGCTAAAAGAAAATTAAGAATGACCTCCAGAGAATTTTCCAATATCGCCATAAACTGTTCTTTGAACAGAATAAAAGGATACTAGGAATACATTCAGTTATGAATATTAATACGATAAGTAGATGGCAATGTATTAGGATGCTTTTTTCTTACAATAATATTGCTTGTTATTCAATTTCCAAATCTGGCTCACAAAACTACCCAACTGTGGCTGTGACTTTGCTTTTGTTCCCTGTATTTTAACTGCAGCATACCCAGAATCAATTCAGCTTCACTATCATGTTTCCAATTGTTCCAAGATATTTGAGTGATTTATTTATCTGTACTTTGAAGTTAACTGGAATGAGCATTTAATTCACTTAAATTTCATGCAGACTTATGAATCAGTGTGTATGTGTGGGGTGTGTGCACATATGTGCATGCATGTAAATATACAACATAAATTCTCCACCTGTATAGAAACTTAGGTGGAAACTTAGGTGAAAACTTACATGACTATACAGAATACTATGTCAAACAGATTTCTGAATCAGAAATCTTATTAATTCTAAATTTCCCGATGTCAAAAAATTAATCTTCCTAGAATACATGTAAGATTGCTTTGATGGTTTAGTACTTTCTGTTTTGAAAGTCATAATATTCTATTTAAAAACAACACTGGGTACACTTAACATGTTTAATTATTTTGTTTTAGCTTCATCTAAACTGAACAACAAAGTGACAGTCACCAAAACTCCACGTTTGAGAAAAGGTATAGCCCTCAAAATAGGAAACCCATTCTACTAAAATCAATTCAGAACCATAATCTAGCTGATGAGTTTATTACCTTTGATTATTAAAAGCAAAGCTCTGTCTGGTCCTTGAAATACTGAACCATACTTTGGATTAATAGAAGAGAATATTTGTAACCTAAGGTTGAACTGTGTGGTCCTTGGTGCTACTTCCAGCTTCAATCACATATGTAATGTCCTGCTTGTTTTCTTACTTTCAGTCTCTTCGAAAATATTCAGTGTGATTCTTGCCCATGAACAGTTGTTCATATTTAGAATAGCATTAGAATAATAGAGTTGGAAGGGACCTTGTAGGTCATCTTGTCCAATTTGCTTTAGTATATAATACTGCATACTATTTTCCCACCAAAGCCTCTCTAAATTGCATATTGTCCTCTGCATCATCATAGCTGCTTTTTGTCAAAACATTACATACCAGTCAGTGTTTTGCTGTTGCGGATTACAAAGTTAAGCTGTATCTCAGTATGCTTACCTTTCCTCTTTTATTAACTGGAGCTAGCTAAGATGCAACTTTTGGATAGCTAATTTGGTGGAGTAGTTAAAACCAGTGAACTTGAATGAGGAAAACTGGAATTTTAATAACTATAGTGAAAATAAATATATCATTGTCTCCAGTCAGTTCCTAATATCTTTGACATTCCTTTTTTCAGTTGTCCACAGAACAACACCAGCCCCTCCTAAAATTAGAACACCAGGAAGACCGTCCAGGACTAAAAAACCAAGAGGTAACAGTTAAATATTATTCCTCATATTGTTGAAATGTTTAGTAGCGGCACCTTTACTTTGTTGCAGATATGTCAAATGGTATACCTTGTGGTCCTTTGCTTATCTCTGTAGACAGATAAATAGAAAACAATAATATAATTGTGAAATAATTAGTTTTAGTTCTACAACCAAATGCCAGGAAATAAAACCATTGAGTAGACATGTATTTAATGCTCTGTTAATGCTTATTTTACATTAAGAAAGTAGCAATAGCTGCAAATAAAGAGATATAATTTGAACCATAATTAACCTTTATCCCTGACAGATTCTAACGGTGATTATTCAAGTATAAACATGTCCTAACTTTTGGATGTGCCATAATTACTTCCATATACATTTTGGGATGGAGGGCAAGAAAAAATGTAGTGGTTCTGACACTTTAATTGCAGCCTGAAAAGTGAAACGCCACCAAAGACTACAGAGCGAATATAAACAATCTGCTTGCTTATTGAAAATATTTGTCAAATAAATTGAGTTAAGTAAGACAAATTTGGATTTTAAAAGTTTAGATTGAAAGAAAATCAAAGTATATAGGCTCTGAAATATAAAACTATTTCTGTTTCATAGTAGATTTTGATACTTCCTTACTAATCCTTAAATCAAAATAAATGTTGTATTAAATAAAGAGGCAACAAATATTGTGTCTTTGTACAGAACAGTTCATAATAATGAAAGAGCCGAGGTGGCGCAGTGGTTAAATGCAGCACTGCAGACTACTTCAGCTGACTGCAGTTCTGCAGTTCGGCTGTTCAAATCTCACCGGCTCAGGGTTGACTCAGCCTTCCATCCTTCCGAGGTGGGTAAAATGAGGACCCGGATTGTTGTTGGGGGCAATATGCTGACTCTGTAAACCGCTTAGAGAGGGCTGAAAGCCCTATGAAGCGGTATATAAGTCTAACTGCTATTGCTATTGCTATAATTTATGTTCTATATATTTAACATAAAAGAGACAGTTTGGTATGTATGTATGTATGTATGTATGTATGTATGTATGTATGTATGTATGTATGTATGTATGTATGTATAATATATACACATACACACACACACAAACAAATAAACAAAATAATTTGGGTAAAAAAGTGAAAGACCCTCAAATATTTCCTTATAATGCAAGAATATATTTAAGGACTAATTTTTTTTTTCATCCCATTATTTGCAGACTGTTCACTAATTTAAAAAAAAACACCCTATATTTTGATATTTCATCTCTTTTTCAAGCCTTAAAAGAAAACTAGCATCATATCATACATAGTTTATGTTTATTGATCAAAAAGATAAAATTCTATAGTATTCATGTATAGCATCCTAAATTATATTAAAAATGCAAATATAAATAAATAAATAAATAAAATAAAAATAAAACATCGGATTGTGTACTATTTAATGAACTCTATTTCTGTGCTCTCTTGCCTACTATTGTGGACAATTCAATTATATTATCACATTTTCTATAAAAATGTATGCCTAGAGGAATAGCCAGACCCTTTTCTTTTAGATGATGTGGCTATTTCTTTCTGGCATTTAGTCTGACATTTGGTCTTGTTAAAAAAATACATTCTTGACTAATGAACAGAGTCAATTCCAAGTTAATAGGAATTTGGGTAAAGTATCTTTGGCCATGAATTCCCATCTGTCAAAGCAACCTAATTGTTTACCTGGCTTTAATGTCCACACTTCAAAAGCAGTAGACGATTTGGTTGGACATTTAAATGTTCCAAATATCCATGACCAAATACAACTGCTCAGGAAAAAAAACTAAAGGGAGTTTGAAGCAGCACCAATAGTAGACTCTGCCAGGGACTTCAGGTTCTGAGAATGGCCGAAAGATGCCAGTTGGTGATGTATCTATGGCAACGAAAGCTTGTCTGTGTAAGATTTTCCATTTTAGATCATTTTTCAATTGTCAGACAAAACATTTCCTTTTTTTTTGTACTGGTTTTTGGAATTTTAAAACATCCTGTGGGCTGTCTTGCAAAACTGTTGAGTTGGGGTTGCCCCAGGAAATATAAGCAAATACAAAACTGAAGAATGTTTGGAATAGATACACACAAATTGAAACAATGTAGGTTGCAGCACTCAGAATTTTTACGTTTTTAAAAAAGCTTCTTAGGCACTTTAACTTACAAGCTGGATACCTGTGCTTCGCGATAAAACTATGTGATCGGGCTATGCAGGAGAAATTTGATTCACAATTCGTTGACTCAGTGGTAGTCAGTGATTGAAACACATAAGGGAATATCGCTTCCACCGCCTTGAGTCCGGAGCAGTTCCATAGGTGGAAGATGTAGACATTTTGATGAAGTACCAACATTTAGTACTGTAAGGAGCCCCAGATCACATCCTGAGTGAAGGAGTGGAACGTCTGCCAGTTTGAACTGAGGTAACGGAATGTGAGGCAACTGGCAGCTGGAACAGAGTTCTTTTCAGGTAGGGAGGGAGACTAGAATTCCTT